CACATACATAAAATAATAAAATGCTGACAGGCTACATAAGTGAATATTTGGTTATCAGAGCCTTATTTGTGAGAATACACACCAAGCCACAGAATTAGCATAAGAGAGGGATGCGTGCTGATGTGGAGGATGTTGTAAGGCACAGGAAATGAATAAACTGGAAGAACGTGTGATGCTGAGTTTGTATTACTCAATCCTCATTTAGATTAAACTGTTTTGGTGAGGAAAAGATTTTACAACACTTTTCTATCAGATCTAAAAATATATTTTTATGAGACTTAGACTCTTCTGGCCTTTTATTTGGAGTTAAGGGATTGGTGAAAGGGTCAGCAAAGAACTAAGTTAGGAAACACAAGAGATTTACTTTCCTTCAGCATTTTTAGTCGAAGGGGCTGAAAGAAAGTTTGTCCTCTTCTCAATTAGCTTTTTAGATCTTTCAAATAAGAAGATTTATTTATTTTTATTATCTACTAAAGGCCGGTGCATGAAAATTCGTGCACTCAGGGGGATTCCTCAGCCCCGCCTGTGCCCTCTCACAGTCTGGGAGCCTGCAGGGGGTGTCCAATGGCTTAGGGAGCAGGCCTAAGCCACAGTCTGGCCTCCCTCTGCGGGAGGTGACAGGTGGGAGAGGGGACGGGGGGGGGGGGGGGGGGGGGCTGATTAGGGAATGCCCTTCCCCCTGCATCACAGTCTCCTTCCTCTGCCCGCTGGCATACTCCTTGGCTGGCCTGGCGCCACCTGCTCACCTGCCCTGCCCCCGCCCCCCCACCGACTGGTCATTCCACCGTTCAGTTGATTTGCATATTATACTTTTATTAAATAGGATAATCCACTTGAAGATAATTGTTTTGAGAAGTCTGTTTTATCTCCACTTATAAAAGAAAATCTTCCTGGTTGTTACAAATATATATCTATGGGATTTAATATTTTTTAAAGGTTAAATGAAAATCCCTTTTTTATGCATAAATACTTCCATTTCTGCTCTAACCACAGGGGGGAGGGAACATTTCTTAGCACTCAGAAATTCCCCTTTTTTTACATTTTTTCATAAGAAAAAATAACAGAAGACATTTCTATTTTTAGTTTTACAAGAATAAGGTGGAGTCAGAACATACTTTCTGTCAAAATAAGAGTAGCACTCCATCCTCTTGAATAAAAGAAACAATTAACAGTAATACACTGCATTTTTATTTAAACCAAAAGTAATTGATAACCCAATGATTAATACATTCAGTTCACGTGTTGGGGGGCGGGGGCGAGGGGTAGGGAAGTAACATTTTGGATTACCTCTGATTTAAATTGTCTCATTGGTAAACTGATTTTTCCCTCCTACATCATGTAGACCATTAAGGTTCAGTCATGAGATTGGAATCTGGAAGAAGGATATGACTTAGAGAAGGTGAAAAGTTTGAATGTTGTCCCTTCTGGCCTGTTTTAGTCAGGGTTTTTTAGAGAAACAAAATAAGTAGGTTTTGTATAGATATGTATAAAAGGAGATTTATTATAGGAATTGGTTCACACAGTTAGGGAGGCTGAAAAGTCCCACAAGGAGAGACCAGAAAATTCAGGGGTGTAATTCAGTTCAAGTCCAAGCTGATGGTCTAAGCTCCAGCCCAAAGGCCCAAGTACTAGGAGCAGCAATGTCTGATGTTCGAGGGCAAAAGAAAATGGATGTCACAGTCCAACCAAAAAGAGTAAATTTGCCCTTTCCTCCCTCTTTTTGTCCGGTTCAGGCTAGTAATGGATTAGATGATGCCCTCCCACATCCAGTGAGGGCGATTTTCTTTACAGCCTACCAATTGAAATGCGAATCCATTCCAAAAACATTTTTACTCACACACTTAGAAACAATGTTTTACCAGCTACCTTGGCATCCTTTAGCCCAGTCATGTTGATACATACAATAACCATGGTATGGTCCTAGGGAATTGTGAGGGAAAAGAAGGGAGATAGGTTGAGGAGAGATATGGGGTGAGGATCAAATGGCCTAGTTTCCCCTCTCTGAGCTTTGGACTGGGTGAGACCATCCCTGGCAGAAAGCTTTGCCTCATTCCACATTCGGGGCTCCATAGGGAGCTCTTGCACCAACCTGCAGACAGCCACAGCAAAGACCTCTGTGGCACAGATGGACTGCACAGGGCTGGGTCTGAGTTTAGCTTTTCTGAACTGCCTTTGGTTCCCAGTGGCCTGCATGGAAACTTCCTGCATACCCCTGAAAGGGCACGCAGAAGATGGGCCTGCCACAGAGTCTGTTGTAGGAAAAGGCATAAGCTTAGGCAAGCACCACAGGTCAGCGCTGAACAGGGGAAAGGCCGGCTTTTCAAGAAATCTTCAGCATCAGTTGGGTGAACCATCTAGGGAGTCCCACCAGGTTCTGATCAAGGTGAGAGATACCACCATGTGCAGCAGCAGGAGAATGCACAGAACTAGGACCGTGATCCTTCAGGACTCACCAGGGAGCATTCCTGAACAGCCATTCGGTGGCAGGCAAGCAGTGATCCAGAAGCCACCACAAGAGTTTGAGACATTTATCTCACCTCTGCTGTCATATAATGCCGGTGTGTGTTTCTCAGCATCTAGAAGGGTTTAGGAATCTGGAGAAGGGCCTGCGGTAAATTATTAAAGAGTCTAGAGGCGAAACATAATTTTGGAAGGCATTTTGGGGAGCCAGAGGAGACTTAGCTAGAGAAACCAAGTCCTCCTTGTCTCAGGACCCCTTGCTTTTTATTAACACAAACTGTCCTAAGGCAAAGTAGATATACATATCAAAGGCAAGGTTTAGTATACAGAATCCATTGTCAGATTGGGAGAATTGCCTATGGCTGTTCAGGTGTTTGGCCAGTAGGAGGCAATAACATGTAGATTTAAAATGCCCTCAGCTGTGTGACAGCAAGTAATCATTTATACATCCTTTTCAGGTTTGGGAAAATGCCCTTCCAACAGGCAATAATATGTATTTTCCAGCCCTTGCTGAAGGCTCAAGGTCCACCAACCTTTTGATGAACTGCTTGCATTTATGACCTGCTGGAATTAGCTTCCGGCAGTCATACAAACATCTGGCTACTTCCCTTGTTCTTCAACCTATCACTGGAGCATATAAAGATTAATTATACACCAAAAAAGAAATTATGTGTTTTCTACACATCAGAGTACAGTATGAATCCCTTCGAATCCTTATTTGTACAACTATAAATAAATATGAACAATTTCTTTACAGAATCTATGCCTTTAAAAAAAAAATCAGAACAGAGTGTAATGGAAAAAGTAGTGAAAACTTTCTTGAGTAGCCTATTTGTTAAGTTTATAATTTATACTATCTCTACTTCACAAAGGAGTTGAAATAGCATAAAATAAAACAATGAAAGCTAATATTTACTGAATGATTCCCCCTGCTGCCAGGGACTGTTTTAGATGTTCAAAAGTAGCCCAGTTGGTGTGGACCCGGGAACCAAGGGTCACTGGTTCAATTCCTGGTCAGAGCACAGCCCGGGTTGAGGGGTCCATGCCCAGTAGGGGGCATGCAGGAGGCAGGCGATTGATGATGTTTCTCTCTCATCAATGTTTCTATCCCTCTCCCTTTTTCTCTCTCTGAAAAAAAAATTGAAAATCAATGAATGTTCTAAAGTATATAATTGAATCTACAAAGTAAGTGATTTAGATTATATTCATTGACAGATGAGAGAAATGAGGCTCAAAGATGGAGAGCAATTGGCCCAAGTTTTTCCAGGTAGGAAGGGGAAGAGCTGGGCTACAAACCTACTTAGTTAGTTTCCAGAGCCTGTGGTTTTTTTTTTTTTTGTTTTTTTTTATTAAAATAAAAAACAAATACCTTAAGAAGAGAGCTAATTCTATCTAAAGATGGCTAACATAGTCTTCATTAAATTTAGTTTGCTGTACTCCAGGCCAATTAAAATAGATCTTTGTTTATCAGGAACTGAACATTTATGAAATGCTTGATAATGTTTATAAGAATTTTGCAAAAAAAAAACCAAAAGAAAACGAAGATAAAAAGAATAGCCGCTAAATAAGATAAAAATAGCTCGGACTTATTGCAATGTGTCAGGCATTATGTCAAATGCTCCACATGAATTATCTTCTTTAATGTTCTTAGTAAACACTCTGTAGGTGGGACTTTATTATTATTATCTTATAGACTGGGGCATTGAGGCCTAGGGAAAGCTTCTTGAGGCTCCATAAAGAGTAGGGTTGGAATTTGAACGTATATGCTTGACTATATAGCATGATAGCTATTGCCTCCTGCAACTACAGTACACCGTCCTGTTCATTTCATGGTCACTGCCAGGACTTAGATGCTGATACAGCCACACAGATTTCCTATGATTGGCATCCATGCGAACTGGTCAGTGCCCATGCTATTACTTGTTTGTTTGTTTTTTAAATTTATCTTTATTGTTGAAAGTATTACAGATGTCCCTCTTTTCCCCCCATTGATCCCCTTCACCCCGCCCCCACCCCCAGGCCTTCACCACACTATTGTCTGTTTCCATGGGCTACATATATATGCATGTAAGTTCTTTAGTTAGTCTCTTCCCATCCCCCCTATTCCCTTCCCTCTGAGGTTCATCAGTCTGTTCCATGCTACTATGTCTCTGGACCTTTTTTTTTTAATATAATATATTTTTATTGACTTCAGAGATGAAGGGAGAGATAGAAACATCAATGATGAGAGAGAATAATAGATTGGCTGCCTCCTGCACACCCCACACTGGGGATTGAGCCCACAACCTGGGCATGTGCCCTGACCGGAATCGAACCCTGACCTCCTGGTTCATAGGTTGTCGCTCAACCACTGTGCTGGGCTGGACCTATTTTGTTCCTCAGTTTATTTTGTTCATTAGATTCCACATATGAGTGAGATCATGTGATACCTGTCTTCCTCTGACTGGCTTAATTTCTTACCAGGAAACCCCCAGGTGGGCTCAGGCTGCCTGTCGCAATGTCCAATAACTAAGGCAGGGTTGAATCATATAAGGCATTTATTGAGAAGGCCAGCCAACCAAGGAGACAGGGAACTTACAAGCATCTAAAACTTGTTTTGCCCGTAAGGTGAAGGGGACAGGATTATATAGGAAAAATGGGCTGGGGTAAGGTTGGGAACAGAATGCAATTGCATGCAGCCCTGGACGTCGACAGATGCAACCATTGTTCTTGGTTGTCAGGCAATGAGATGACGCCTTGGCTCCTGGTGGGGTCAGCCTGGTCTTGCTTAACAGTTCTGCTGTGTGTTGGGTACAGTATACATTGTCCGCAGTTGAATCACCTCCTCCGTCACGTTGTTTAGGATCAAAGGGAGTACGCAGGTGCACTGGCCTGAGAAACGACACTTAGAAAAGAAAAAAACTTAACCCTCTGTTCCCACATGTATATGTATTTCAGAATTTCAAACTAATACGATTATCTTTTAGATTAACTCAGGTGCTCTATTAGATAATGAGTCCCCCCTATCAATTTGGTTTAGCATAATACTCTCCGGGTCCCTCCATGCTATCTCAAGCGTAAGAGATCTTTCCTTTTTACAACTGCATAGTATTCCATTCTTACTTGTTATACATTTCTAATATTATCTCCATCAACTTCTGGTGAAAGAGTAGGGAATAATAATAGATATTGAAGATAAGGCAGTACTGGTAAACAAGACAGACATATTCTGGGCCTAAGTCCTTAATCAAATATGTATTGTACATATACTCTCCCATTCTATAGATTGCCTTTTCTTAATGGTGTGTCTTGAAGAGTTAAATGTTTTAATGTTGATGAAGTCAAGTGAATCATTTTTTTCTTTTATAGTTCTGTTTTTGTGTTATATAAGAAATGTTCTATAAGAAATCTTTGTCTGTCAAAAGATTGCAGATTTTCTCCTAGGTTTTCTTTTAGGAGCTTTATAGCTACTTGAATTTTAGGGCTTGTGGGAATAATTTATCACCTAGTTTGTTGTAAATGCTAACAGTTTTTAGTTTACTATTTAGTTTCTCTGTTTTAAGGCGGGAATTTAAAAATTATGTCACTGCTACTGCTGTATCTCCAGATGTCCCTACAACATTTTATGGCTTGTAGAACTGTTATATTCCTTTAGTAAAAATTATCTTCATTTTTATTTGCTTAGTGTTCAGTACCTTTCACTAATTAATTCCAAATTTTCACACAGCTGCATATCTGTTTTCAGCATTGACAAACAGATTGAATAATCAGGTTCATTTGTGTCTGGAATTGTTTCTCATTCCACATTAATTTTATCATTAGACTTTTCTTCACTGACGTCAATATGTAAAATCTTCAATTTTCTCCTTGATAGATTGCTTGATTCCTGGGTCCCATATCTCCTACTTCTCTGGGGTATTTTTTGGTGAAGAGATGGACAGTTACCTGTCTAGCTGCCTGATATTCATTATTCCTTATATCTAAGGAGAATTCTGGTTTATTTGTAAGTGGCAGTGGGTCCAATCCAAACTCATATTTCTCAGCCCAAATTACAGATATATTGGGCATGTGCCACAGTACTAGTTGACGCTATAAGCTCTTTAAAAGGTAGGGGTATTGGCAGTCTCAGCTAACACCCACATTGTGCCCTTTGCCTTTCCCTTTTCTTCCTTCAAGGAATGAAGATATGCCTGGCTGGTGTGACTCAGTGGTTGAGCATCAACCTATAAACCAGGAGTCACGGCTTGATTCCTGTCAGGCCACATGCCTGGGTAGCTGGCTCAATCCCCAGTGTGGGGTGTGCAGAAGGCAGCCCGTCAATGATTGTCTCTCATCATTGATATCTCTCTCTCTCTCTCTCTCTCTCTCTCTCTCTCCTTCTCTCTGAAATCAAATATATGTATATATATATGTATATATACACACATACATATATATGTATATATACATATATATATGTGTATATATATACATATATATATATATATATATATATATATATATAATTTAAAGAAGTCATAAACAGCATTTATTACCTTGGTATATCACACTGGTCTTGTTGCTGTTTCTTCACATTAACTGGTTTTCCATCTTCCCTCCCTCTTCCCACAGTCTGGCTACACAGTGCATCCTTGATCTGTTAGCTCACAGCAGCAATACACTTATTCCACATCTGTAACACTCTTCATTCTCAGGGTTAAAGTTCTGGTCCACAAAACCTTCCGAGCAGGAAGTTCAATGCTTGCGAAAGAATCTGTAATAAACCAGGCCTCCCAGGATGGCTAACTCCAGTAAGATGACAATGGAAAGTAGCAGCTTGTTGGTTGTCACTTTTCCGGAGAATCTTCCGACTTTTGCTCAAGTTTACATTTGTGTTTACCAGTCTATTTTTGGTACGTTCCAACTGGTCACGTTGCTCCCTCCCCCAGCTCTTCTATAATTTCCGAGCAAATCTGGTCAGTTTCTGTGGCAATCCGATGAGAGTGCTCAATACTGTGGGTGGCCCGCGTCAGGCTGTCAGTGCCTTGCAAAAGCAATACCCTCTGAGGCTGTAGCTGATTCACATGCTCATTCTCTACAGTGTGTATGCCATATTTGATGTCTCCTCGGCCGCCGGGTGTGGCTGTCAAAGGCGTGCTTCCCACTTCCAGAGGGAGTATGGCAAGGTCCTTCCGGTAATTTCGAAGCTTAGACATCATAGGGTTACGAAAAGACAGGGGTGCATAACGTAGTTCCTCTTCCACCTCTGCCAGCGTTTCATTTGCTTCTTGTTGCTTTTCATTAAAATCTCTGATCAATTTCTTCTTCTATTCTGTGCTCCCGGCCCCCAGGAGCCGCTCTGGCACACGCAGAGGTCTTCATGGAGGCCGCGGAAGGTCTCAGATCTCGTGCAGCTTCTCCAAATGCTCCAAAGAGGAGGCGGCGGAGGTGGCCATAGCGCAGGCCACGCCCAGGAAGAGGCGCTTCTGGGGCCGCCAAAAAATATATTTTAAAAAAAGGAATAAAGATGTAAGTCGTCCCATTGGGAGAGAATATATAAGTCACATGGACTTACTAATTTAGGTGTCTGTAATTTAAAATTTCTCATTGTAAATTGATAACTTGCCATTCTGGTTCATAAATTGGAGTTTGCCTTGAGAGATAAACTCACTTTTGGCATATTTTCGAATTAGTTTTCTTGGACTGCAAAATTGAGGGAGCGACTGAGAAATTCATTACTCTGTGAGTTTCTTAGGCGCTAGACACAACCAGCAACTCCCCCTCCCCCAACATCTTAACACATCAAGCTTTTCCTTTGAACTGCTATGGATTGGGTATCCTCTGGGTTTATACTGATAATACATAAATCCTCCACTTAACAAGGAATGGAATTTGACTCAGAGGCAACCCAGGAGGAAGCATAAAGCACTTTCTTCTTCGCAAGGGTGCTCTATATTGGCTGATTTATTCAACCGATCATATTCTCTCTTTGAATATGAGAGTATGAGATATAATACAGAAGCAGACAGTAATGTAGAGAAAACTGTAAAAATAAAAGCCATGAAGTAGTGAAATCACAAATAAGGAAAAAGAATGAGCAAGATGTAATAATATCAGACTGAATGAATTGTGTCATGTCCTGATAATGATCAATTTCTCTACAAAACCTTCTGAGATTACTTATTTTATCTGTCTTTGCAATCTATCACTTGAATCATCTGAGTGGGCCTACGTGCCTTGCAATGTGAAAAACTAACTAGTCTAATTACTAGTATTTCTCAAATCTGTTTCCTCATTTCCTTGTCCATTGCCCCATTTAGATTAAGCTTTCATTCTTACTCACAGAGATGACTAGAATAATGGTCATTTACAGTTTCCCAGCTTTCACTCTTCCCTCACCTACCCTTTCTAAAATACAGATCGATGTCACTCTCTCTGTGTTCATGAATGATATGTGTCAGTATTGGCATGTCATATGACAGTGCATCACGGAATTGGCTCTAGAATGATTTCACTCTGTGCATATGATCTGGAGATTGAGACTTAGAGGTGATTATCATACTCTTTAAGGAGGGAACAGTAGCCCATAAAGACCAGAGGTAATTCCATTTAGTCTTTTGGCTTCCAGCATCAAGTCTATGTTCCACTTTCCCTGACCTTAAAACACATGTAATAAAAAATGCAAAGTGCTGTTCCTGAGTTATATAACCTTTTTACTAAACTAGTGATATATCTTGTTTCTCTGAGTTCTGTGAGCCTCTCCAGCCATTGATGAAATCAAGGAGGGCATTTTGAGAAGTTCTGCTTTGTAGCCAGTTGCTTAGAAGTTCAGGTGATAACAAATGACAAGTGCTGGCGAGAATGTGGAAAAAGGGGGACCCTAGTACACTGCTGGTGGGAATGCAAACTGGTGCAGCCATTGTGAAAAACAGTATGGAGATTCCTCAAAAAATTAAATATGGAACTGCCATTTGACCCAGCAGTCCCACTTCTAGGACTATATCCTAGAAACCCAAAACACCAATCAGAAAGAATATATGCTCCCCTATGTTCATAGCAGCACAATTTACAATAGCTAAAATCTGGAAATAGCCCAAGTGCCCATCCGTAGACAAATGGATTTTAAAAAAAAGCTATGGTACATTTACACCATGGAATACTATGCAGCAGTAAAAAAAGAAGGATCTCTTACTCTTTGAGATAGCATGGAGAGACCTGGAGAGTATTATGCTAAGTGAAGTAAGCCAGTCAGAGAAAGACAAGTATCACATGATCTCACTCATATGTGGAATCTAATGAACAAAATAAACTGATGAACAAAATAGCTCCAGAGACATAAAAGCATAAAACAAAATGTGGAATCTCAGAGGAAAGGCAGGGGAGGGTGGGTGGGAAGAGATCAACCAAAGAACTTGTATGCATACATGCATAACCCATGGACACAGACAATAGGGTGGTGAAGGCCTGGGGCTGGGGGCGGGGCAGGCTAGAAGGGATCAATGCCGGGGAGTAAGGGGGAAGAGGGGCACATATATAATACTTCCAACAACAAAGATTGGAGGGGGGGGGGAAAGAAGTACAGGTGAAAGCCTAGGATTGAGACTGGCCTCTGAAGTGGGAGTGGGGTGGATGTGCAGTCTCTGAGGACTGAGCCATCAACCTGCTGTGCCTGGTGCCATCACTGGGTGGATAATGTAAGAACTGAGTTGAATTCCTGGACAAGCAGTTGGTTTTCTGAGGATTGCTTGGTGGAAGTGTGGGGAACCCCCACCCCTCCTGAAAGCAATTTACATCTAATGTAAAAAAAAATTTTTCAATACATACTTTGTAAAACTTTTTAACCTGCTTAATCTCTGAAACATCTGTAATTTTGTTCATTTTTCATGTTTTATTTGCTCAAGATCTACTGCTTTTGAATAAAATTGT